AAGCGGTTACAAGGCTAGTCAGTTCCAAGTAGAATTTTTCTCTAGGAGCTCTCTGTGGTTTTGTTGTGGGAGAAGCAAAGGCGCATCAAGTGGAGTGTTTACAAAAACAGGAGCTACTGTAGTCAATAAAATTCTTCATTACAGCATTGTGCTAAAATGCACCACCTTTGGATCACCACATCTCTACGGGGCAACTTTCAGTAAACGTAAAACACAGGGTCAGACTCATGCATATGCATGTGAATAATGCTCTTCGATATGCCGTTTCAAAGTAACCAGCAAACTGACAATATGTAGAAGACATCAGTAAAGTTCCAACTATCAGTGAAAGGCTAATTAATTCTCCGTGAACTTCGTCAAATTGTCATCTTTAACACAGAGCATGTGTTAATGAAGTTTCCTTTGATAACAGCATTTTACTATGTAAGGTCCAGCAGTACTTTAAAAAGCACAAGAGCAAAATATCTTGTCAGTATTAACCTTGAATTCAGTACATACTTCGCAGTTTGTCACATTCTTCAGGTGAAATTTCAACACACACAGGTCACCGCATTACGGCATTATGAATCTCTTTCTGACACTCACTGGATTTCTGACGTACACAGAAATAAGGAATCATAAATAAAACGTATTGTGCCAGCTTTTATGAATTTAAATGATTAAACACGGCACTACAAAAGTTACATTATGACAGTAGCTTACCTAAAATTTCATTTCAGACATCGGTTTCGAAATGACTTCATAAAACCGACCCTTCTTTTTATACATATACTATTATGTGTATTATGTTTTCATTACCAATAATGTTCTTATTTATGTGAATTTTATCAGAAAACAATGGTTTTTATAGCTCTCCAGACATTTCTAGTGGTGTGAGAGTTCGAACCCGTCACCTCACCCAACTCCATGACTTTGTATGACAGAAACTCATTAGGTACTGTTGGTAAATATGAGTGAGTAAACAAACGTGGCTTCACAACTTACATCTCCGCTTCCTATATACCGAAGTTCTTCCGACTGTAGTATCAGCAAATGCAGGATACTGTATGAAGATCATCCCCAGAGCAACTAGAAGAATAGCAAAGGTACAATAAATCCATTTGGACATTCTTCTTTCTGAAGAAATGTTTTTCTTCCGTATCCCAGAGCGTGCCGATGCTTTCTGCGAACGCGCATAGTATAGTGTTGGCTTTAGTAGAGGCAACGTGGCATGGAAAGCAATGTTTCGTTCCCATTAAAAACAAGTCATTTGAGAGATAATGTGTCACATTAAGGTGTTGCATGTTTACAATTATGAAGAAAGGCAGGTGTCTTCGACATGTGTCACGTGACATGTGTCGTGAAAACTTGCGTGAACGTTACTCTGTCAATATACACAAACAGGGGCATAAGCGAGTACTAAATAACTCGGTTTAGACGAGTCTATTCTATGAAGAATTTTCCGTTATAAGGAACGTTTAATTTTCTGTTCATAGGTGAAGGGGCTGTAGCCGGCTTCTCACTGTGGGATCCCGCATTCAGTCGCCGGATAGGCTATGTGGGGTTTGTGGTTGACAAAGAGGTGCTCGGGCAGGATTTTTCTTTTTCGTTAGTATATTGGTTTCCTCGTGCCAATTATCACCGTACCAATGCTCCATTCTCTCATGTAGTACCTGAGGCTGGTACAGTAGGCTCATTTACGGCTGCACCACCAAAGGATTTCCACCCCACCCCAGGAATAAAAATTAATAAATAAAAGGACCTGAGAGAACTGCAGATGTTATACAGCGCTGAGCAATACGTTTAAACCTTAAAAAAAAAACTAAACTCCGAGGCTTAAGTCCGACCGAGAGACCGCGGCTTATCGGCGAAGTTAGTGCCAACTTTAGTGGATATGTGTAGTGTGGTCAGCACAACGGATCCACACCGCCTCAAAGAAGGGAGAGGTAGCCAATTACTATTACCAGTTGCAGATCTTAAAACGCAGTGGAAAAAGAAAGGCAGAGAAGAACTTCACAGTTTTTGTCAAAACACCAAACGGGACAGAGAAGAAAGCTACTTTGAGAGGTACTACAGGAAAGGCTCGTCTCCGCGGTTCCGTGAGATAAAAATGAACCGCCGCGCCTTCGTGTCAATAAACCGTATGAGAGCAGGCCACACCAGTCTTAAAGCAAGCCTAAACAGATTTAACTTTGTGTCCACGGTCGAATGTGAATGTGGTGATGGGCTGCAAACGGAGGAACATGTCTTCTGGGACTGTAAACTGTACGGGGACCAACGGGCAACAAGGATGGACATTTTGTCTGAGAACAGCAAAAAAGAATACCCAAAGTCAGTTATAGAACTCTTAAGGCTAGAAGAAAAAGATTTCTGCAAGGCGTCAGTTACGTCATAAACATTCCTATATTTATATGACAGATTTGTAAGAAAAGCAAAAGAAGTAATTGTACTGATTATTAACAGTATACGCTCAGATTTAAGTTAAGATCTATATTAAGAATCGTGGGTTTACCGCTATTATAGAATAAGATGTTTATAAGAATGTGCTACAGAAGGCCGGATGTGCATTGCCTAGGCCTTTTTTGTATTTACAATATTCTTTTCTACAATAAAAGAATCCCCATGGCGAGTAATACACACGTATAAGGTTGTTAATGTGCAATGAAGGGGAAAGGACAATGTAGTAGACATGGGCTATTCTGAAGTGCCATCACAACAGAAAGTAAAGAAAATCAAGAAAAGTCGCAGTCAGGACAGCCTTTGCCCAGGTCCAGCTTTGAATCTTGTACTTTCGGCATATAAATCAGAGATGTTATCTCCTGAGCTAACCATTTCAGTACAGCACATGTTCTACAGTAGCACAGCGTTAATCTTAGAACTCTCTTGGACTAAGAACAGAAACCTGAAGACCGAAACAATGCTAATTAAAATCTAATTTTGCATTGGCATGTCATTTTGGTCCATCAAATATGGAGAAAGATGAAATTACGCCCACAAAATATCGTTTTCTCACGATACGTGGTCGAAAAATTGTGGACAGTCATGACTTACCTCTAAGCTAGAGGCCGTGGCATAGCTCAGGCGGGTAGTCGCCGGCTTCCCACCACGACGACCCGGGTTCGAACCCAGATCAAGTCATGTGGGATTTATGGTAAACAAAGTGTCACTGGGGCAGCTTCTCTCCGAGTACTCCGGTTTCCCCTGCCAATTCTCATTCCACTGACTGCTTCACATTCATCATCAGCCGTTCTGGGTTGGTACAATGGGCCAGTTAGTGGTCGACATACAAAGTGGACGCAGTCTGTCTCATTTAAAAAACCTCCTCTAAGCTAGGCAATACTTAAAAACGAAAGATTTCCCACCCTATTTTTAGTCCCACATTATTTGTGTATATTTTTGGACTATAACTATAGCTTCAGGGTTAGTTTAGGGAAAAATAAATCATATTTTAGTTTATTAATTTTGAAATAAGATCCGGCATTACACAATTCACTGTCTCCCTTATCTTAGCTGCATGCCCAGCCCATCGCAGTCACCTAGATTACGTCACCATAACAGTATCATATACCCTTATGCAATGTTCTAAATCAGCGTTGGCCAACCTAATACACCTCGAGGGCCAAATTTAGTTTATAGAACACCATCAGGGGCCAGATACAGTGTTTCTTTCAGAAGAGTGGTCGGGGAGTATTGCCCCCCAAACTGAATCAGTCACAACCCGTGTAAAAACAAGTGCATTTAAACCTACGTATTTAAATTTTACGTTGCACCAATAATATTAAGCCGATATTGAAAATTTCACCAATCAATTTTATTGCCTTCTATCACTTCTACCCCCAGAGCATTTTTTCTTAAAGAAACACTGGCCAGATCATGCCTTATGTTTAGTTTTATATATGCCGGGGGCAAATGCAATTATAATTTAAGAAAGAAAAATAAAATGCCTTGAAATGTGCAATTACTTACCATAAAACAGCACAAATTCTTCTTTCAGCAGGGATGAGCACAAAAGACTTTCAATCATAGTTTTTATGGTCTAATGATTATACCTAAATCCTCATATACACACTGTTTTAATGAGAGCACTGTGGTTTCATAAAACTGGAAACCAATGATATAAAATCCACTTTTAATTGTGAGGTTGCCACTCGAAGAATATGTGATAACACGACATCTGAAAGTCTGTTCCTGTTCTTAGACTTTACATGCTTCAGCGATGAAAACGCTGTCTCGCATATGTAAGTACTTGCAAAAACAGAGCAAAGTTTGAGAGCCCAATTTCGTAACAGTGGGTAACGTTCTGGTGAAAGCAGTTTCCAAAAGTCAATTCCAGTAACCTGAGATGTGTTTAAGGATGGGTCACATTGAAGTTCACAAAGCTCTAATTGCAGATGACCTGGCTGAGATTCTATATCACAATGTATAGGATTACTGAATAAAGAAATATCAGGTCGAAAGCTTTCAAAATCGTTAAATCGTCGGTCGAACTCTGAAGACAAATCTTCAATAATTTCAGTGTAGTCCCTAAACTCCAAGTCTTCTTCTTCTTCTTCTGAGAGTTTCCGACAGCAAGGGAAATGTAGAAGGTTATTTTTGTCCAATGCAGACTTAAATAAATGTAGCTTTTTACGGAAACTGTCAACAAAGCCAACCATCTGACATATTGTCTGCTTCTTGCCTTGCAATTGCAGATTCAGGACATTCAAGTGTTGAGTGATATCAGTGAGAAAGGCCAAGTTTCTCAAGAATTCGACGTCTTCGAGATCATTCTGCAGTTCAGCAGAATTCGTAACCTCTTCTCTTAGGAATGTTGCTATTTCATGACGGAGTTCAAAGAACCGTACCAGACATTTCCCACGGCTTAACCATCTTACTTCAGTGTGCAGAAGCAGGTCCCCGTAAGCAGAATCCATTTCTTCCAAGAGGGTCAGAAATTTTCTGTGAGTGAGTGATCGATTTCCTCCTCTGATCAAATTAGTAATTTTTGTGACAGTAGCCATGGTGGTAGACAGTTTAATTGATTTGGCACATAGAGCCTCCTGATGTATAATACAATGCAAGGTAGGTACAGTAATTTGATTCTGTCTTAAAAATCCAACAAAACCGCTTATTGTCCCTGTCATTGATTTAGCGCCATCTGTTACTATGGAGGACAATTTTTCAAAACCACCGAATTCCTCCACTGCACTCTTAACAGCGTTAAAAATATCGACACCTCTAGTTGTGCTGTGTAAAGAGCACACTTTTAACAACTCTTCGAAAATTGTAAAATCTTCCTTAATTGCACGAACAAATATCAGCAACTGATTAGTATCCGAAACATCTGTGCTTTCGTCGAGAGCAATTGAGAAATAGGAACAATTAGCGATAATGTCTTTCACATTATTAGATATCTGGTTGCTAATATCTTCCAGCCTCCTAGTAACAGTCTGTTTTGAAAGGGGCACTGTTTGAAATTTGTTTCCTACCTTATTTTCATTGAAAGCTTCTGCCATCTTTATCGCACAGTTCTTAATTAATTCACCATCACTTAACGCTTTTTTAGCTTTCATTAATTCATATGTCACGAAATAAGAAGCCAGCAAAGCTTCTTCTTGTTGTTTTGTTTCATTGGTAAAAAGAGATTTCTGCTGGAAAAGTTTTTTCTTTAACTGATCGCAGACTACTTTCCTTGATTCACAAGAGTGTTTTCCGAACTTCTGTTTATGATTTGTCATGTAATGCCTCTTTAGGTTGTACTCCTTTAAAACTGCTAGCACTTGAAAACATACTAAACACTGTGGCTTGTGGTCTTTATTTAATATAAAAAAATAGTCATGTTCCCACTCAGATTTGAACGCCCTATTTTCACTATCAACTTTTCTCAATTTACTATTTGACATGCTGTATCACTTACAATAACTTCAAACACAATTTTAATTGAAAAACAGTTCTACACTCACACTCCGTAATCACACTTCACTTTCTAAAATCGCACTAACTGGGAGACATTTCTGCTAAAACTGGCACTTAACAAAGGCCAGGATGCCGAGAGAAACGGTAAACATCCCATCCCTGCGAGAAAGCTGGGAATGGTTATTATTTTGAAGGTGTCATAAATCCTTCACCACTACGGTCTTCCCTTCAGTGTCATCTCCCTACAGAAGTTGGGTTGGGGGACTTGGAATTTCCATGACATGAACACAGTTATTAGAAAACAGTTT